GGAAGTGTCACCAACCTTAATCTCAAATTCCACCACAAGAAAAGAGAATGTTTTTTTGCACAAAAGCAGAAATGGAGATCATGGAATTAAATTGAAGACCCAGACATAAAGCCACATACCTGTGGACATCTGCCTTTTGACAAGGACAACAGAAATTCACACTGGAAGAAAGACAACATCTTCAAAAAATGGTGATGGTCAAAGTGTTTGCTACTTGTAAAAGAACATGAATAAATTCGTATTTTTCACACTGCACAAAACTCAACTTCAAGTGGATTAAAGAAATACCACATAATACCAGATACTCTGAATCTGATAAAAGAGAAAGTATGGAATGTTCTTGAACTCAATGGTGCAGGTAGAGACATTGTGAGTGAGACACCATTAGGATAGGCACTAAGAACAGCAATTATCGAATGACACCAAAAGAAACTGAAAGGGTTCTGTACAGCAAAGGACAATGACCTTTAGACAAAACAGTAAGCTACAGAACAGAAAAATATGTTTACCAAATAGACACTCAACAGAGGACTGATATCTAAACCATACAAAGAACTAAAACTTCTAGACATCAAGAAAACAACCAACTGAAAATGAGGTATAGAACTAAAAAGAATTCTCAAAATATGAAATGGAAAACAAAATTAATTCCTGCCAGTGAAAGATGAACTCTCAACTTAGTTTTGTTTTTCATTTCCTTGATGACTAAACATAGGAACATTTCTCTAAATGTTTCTTTTCAGCCATTTTAGTTTCATATTTTGAGCTCAATAAAACAAATGACAGCTCATGCTGGTGAAAATGTGAGGAATGAAGAACATTTATGCATTGATCATGGGAGTGCAGATATGAATAGTCACTATGGAGCTCAGTGTAGCAGTTTCCCAGGAAGCTGGAAATTACCTACCTTAAAACTTGGCTATACCATTCCTGGGCATAAACCTGAAGGACTCTACCCTTTACTACAGAGACACTTGCTTAATCAGTTTCATTATTTCTCTCTTTATAATAGCCAGAAATTGGAAAACAATCTAGATGTCCACCAGCAGATAAATATATTTATACATGTATTGTATACATATATACAATTATTTATATATATACACACATATATGTGTGTGTGTGTATGCGAAAAGCTACCATTGTAGAAGCTTCTTAAAATTTACACAAACATGAAAAATTATAAATGGTGTTACCATATAACAAAGTAAATGATGCCTAAACTAGATGTTACCACTAAGTGAAAATTCAGAAGTTACATTTAATTGATCAGTGGCCAAATGGGCCCCAAGAAAACTTCCCAAAAGCTCAAGCTGTTCTCAAGAATAACAATTGCCGTGTGTGTCTTTTTGCTTCTGGGAAAAACTCACTCAGGATGATCCTTTCCAGGTCCCACCATCTACCTGCAAATTTCATGATTTCCTTATTTTTCATTGCTGAGTTTAATACTCCATTGTATAGATGTACCACAATTTCTGCATCCATTCTTCAGTTGAGGGGCATCTGGGCTGTTTCCAGCTTCTGGCTATTACAAATAAAGCTGCTACAAACATGGTTGAGCAAATGTCCTTTTTGTGTACTTGAGCCTCTTTTGGATATATGCCTAGGAATGGTATGGCTGGATCTTGAGGAAGCGTTATTCCTAGTTGTCTGAGAAAGTGCCAGTGGAGCAGCCTTACCAGGCCTGAGAAGATGACAATGCAGCCACTTCTGATGAGAACTGACAGTCTAAGATCAGAAAGAAGGAGAGGAAGACCTCCCCTATCAGTGGACTTGGGGAGGAGCATGCGTGCAGAAAGGGGAGGAAGGGTGGGACCGGGAGGAGAGGAGGGAGGAGTTTATGGAGGATACAAAATGAATAAAGTGTAATTAATAATAATAATATAAAAAATAAAAATTAAAAAAAGAATAACAATTGCACACTGCAAAGTGATGGTAAGAAGACAACATCTACACATTTCATTCAACATGGCAAAGTTGAGCTGCTGCCTAACTGGAGCCTTCTTCTCCACTGACTAGGGTTCATGGTACTGTAAGGTGCTCTGAACACTACCAAGGGATAAGGGTAAAGGCCAACCCAGCTATGAACCCTGTGATTTACAATGGTGACCTGCCTGCATTATACTCTTGTGCAACAGTTGTACAAATATTGTGGGAGTAACCAACCATTCTCTGACTGAATTTAAGGTCTACTCTTTGAGATGGAACCAAGGCTTAATTCTGCTTAGGTGGCTAAAAGCCTGAGGCTAGGTCAAGAGCCTAGGGGAAAGCAAATACCATTGTCCTGCTAAAGGACACTGAATGAGTGCTAACAAAATCCTGTTATACATATAGACCAATGTCTTCCATCATCAGAGAAGTTTCCTCCTGTAGTAGATGTAAACAAAAATAGAGACTCTCAACTGGACAATGTGTAGAAAGTGAGAAAATTACCATATTCACTTCTGACTGGGATGGCCTCATCAGCTCCTTCCCCTCATGCTATGTAGAAGAGGAGGTTCAAAGATTGTAAGAGCCAGAGGAAAGTGATGGCACCAAGGAAACATAGTTTTCCATATGTAGCAAGACTGACACATATAGAAATTCAGAGAGACTGAGGCGGCATGCTCTGGACCTTCACATGTTCAAACTAGATCGGGTCCCAGTGCTGAGAGGGGAATGGGGAATGCAGACATAAGATCCTATAGCTAATCAAGAAGCTATCTCCAACCAATCACAACTTCTAGTGCAAATTAGTGTTCTTCAATGGTATCTCACTGGGTCTATAAACCACATGAGATTAGGCCCCGTGTCCAGCAGCAAATGGCCAGCACCAAATGAACCCTATAGCATCTTATCGTCTTTGACTAATACTGCTTTTTAAGGCATTTAGAATAGCTTAGTGGTCTTTTCCTTGTAATTTTTGCCTTCCAATTTTGTGTTTTTTATGGTTGTGTACTGTTCTTTTCTGTTTGCCTGCTATTTTGTTTTGTTTTTCTTGTTTGTTCTCTAGGGAAATAGAGACAGAAGTAATGGAGTTGGATGGATGGGAAGGTGTGGATTGTCTGTGATGATATGGGAGAGTTTAACCATGAGCAGAATATAATGTATGAATTTTCAATAAGAATATGGTTGGGTTTTACTGTATAAAATACAAAACAAGTTAAAACGAAACTGATCTCAAATTATGAATTAATTTCATAAATTGACTCCTTATATTCAAATGTATAATAGAAATAACAGTGACTTTTCAAAATAAAATTATAGAATTTAAATATTTTATCAAAATCCAAATAAGGCAATATAATACAGAATAGTATACGCTATAATATTCTGTAGGTATAGGACTAGCACAATAAATTATAGCTTAATCCTTAAATATAATTTTCTGTCATACAACTAGTATTAAAGATACTCTTAATCAAACAAATATGTCATCATATAATTAACTTCCATGTTTTTCTTCACTCCAATCATGGTATTAGTATTGGCTGTCTCCATATTACACTAGCTGAGATTCTAGACATTGTCAAGTCTGTGTCCATACTACCCTGACACCTGATCTCATCTAGACATGAATGATATTTGGTAATATATACTTCCCTATTCTCCAAATGCCAATGCTACAATGTATTTATTCTTTTTAATCCTGCAAAAAAGAGAAATAAGGGACATTAAATATAAAGGTCTAACTGGATTTAAGCTGATGTGCTTTTGCCTAATTTCTACTGCGTGCAGTTTAGTAACAATGAGTACTAAATATTTCACACTAAATATTTGAAGTTTTATTTCATGGAATATATTTCCAAATTTTACTTCTTCTGGAAATGGTCTGAGCTGATATAATTCAGTTAGAATAAAAACAAATTATGTATCAATTGAAGTGCAGGTGGAAGTTCATCAGTCACTATGCTGAATAATTAATTATCTCATAGATTGTTCATATATTTGCATTTATAAGTAAAATCACTATACATTTACCTGTGTCATTATTCAACTTTGAAATCCGAGAAATAAAAGTTCACTAACTGTCTGCCTTCAAAATATATTCATATTGACGAGGAGATAAGCATCAGCCTCTTTGAAGTCCAGATAATCATGAGGGACTCAAAGAAGATGTAGAAGTTTCTCTACTGACAATTACTGGTTCAGGAACTCTAGGGGGAGGGAACTATGAATTTTTAGAGAAAGAACACATCTCCTTCGGTACCCTGCTGGGTAGAGCCTTTCAGAGGCCCTCTGTGGTAAGCTCCTTTCCTGCTACTTGTCTTCTCCTACTTCCTATGTCTATCCTGTTTGCCCTTCTGAATAAGGATTGAGCATCTTCCCTAGGGTCCTCCTTGTTGTTTAGCTTCTTTAGGACTAGATATTTTAGTATGTTTATCCTATGTTATATTGCTAATATCCACTTAACCAAATCACTAGAACAACAAATGATTAAATACATCAAAATTTTTTACTTAATGGACATAAACTTATGAGTTTTCAAAGATTCTATGAGCCTAGATATTGCTGAAAGCATCAAATATACCCAAGGTTCCTATTGATTCCCAAATATTTCTTTCAGACAGTACTATTTCTTTTATTATGGTCTTGATATAAGGTAACTGCATTTAGTATTATAGCACAGACTGTATGTCTCCCTGCTAGTAGAAAATCAGTTAAAATGTTAGTGATTAAAAAATATATCATGGTTATTATAAAGAAAGACTGGTGGTGTTGACATACGCCTTTGATTCAAACACTTGAGAGGCAGAACTCTGAGTTTGAGTACAGCCTAGTCTATAGAGCAAGTTCCAGGACACACAGGTTTACATAGAGAAACTCAGTCTTGAAAAATGAAAAAAAAAAAAAGAAGGAACACACAAACAAACAAACAAACAAAAAAACCAAGCAAACAAACAACAACAAAATGAAGAAAAAAGGCTGAAATCTCTTTCAATCATTTTGTAATGAAAGAATTTTCAAATATACTTACAAAATGACATCCCAATTCCCCATGAAAAAATTTTATATATTACCACAAGTGTAGTCATTTTTATAAGAGCATCTGCGAATCTCACTTTCCAGGGTTCTTCCACATTTTCTGGAACAGGTGAATAAAGCCAGTGAGCAAATAAAATGCAAGAGATTCCAAAGCAGAGAGTTTTGTACTTCATGATGCATCTTCTGCGAACCTGTGTCGTGATATTAAACGGCAGCCCATATATAGACGATGGAGCAGTAAACAAAGGTAGCAACAGGGACTTGGCATTCAGTTCTAAGATGAAGCCAAAGTTGAAACTAATTATGCAACTGCATTGCATTGTGGATACAGCAAAATGCGTAATAAAATGTACAGCAATAGCAAAAGCTGTGTGAGAGCAGGGAGTTTCCCACTCATCACGTAACACTGAAAGAGCAGAAACATCTAGAATTCTAATTAGAGTGTGTGCGCGCGCGCACACACACACACACACACACACACACACACACACAAAACCAAAACATACCTTTGTTCTATTGCTATTGTGTAAAGAGTAGTGACAATAGTTTTAAAGCAATAAAAATGTGAGGTAATATTTAATTAACCTTGAGGATAACTAACATCCACAGAACAGGTCATTTAGAAAATTCCAGTCCTCTCTGTCAGTGAATTTTAGAGAAAAATACTAATGAAATTCCTATTCTTTTCCAAATTATGAACTAAATTATTCAATGATTAAATTTGTATGCACCTCACCATATGTTAAACATAAATTTTGCAGATTCATATAGTTTTTTTGTATAATCATGAAAAACTCCATGTTGATTGAACAAATACTTGTTAGTTCCTGTTATTCCATATATTCAGATTAACTAAAGATTTTCAAATTCAGTATAACTTGACATTTGTGTGCTTTTTTGGTAACAAAAATTCTCTTCTCTCTTAGCTGCCTTCTGTCAGTTCTTCCATAAAATACATTCTACTGATGGAGGCTTTCCCACCTTCTTCACTAATTTGTAGACCAAAGGTGTTCCTGGCACTCTTATTTGTTTCATGTTGTAATGTTAACTCTGCTTTGATATCTCTCTGAACACCAGAATGCCAGGATTAAAAATTCAGTCTCAAATGTGGAGAACTGAAACTACAAGGATCATGGATGGAAGAACGTTAAGGGGGCTGTGAACAAGCTGAATGGAAAAACCCTGCATGTGCAACCAGGAAACTTCTACCACTGTTTAAAATATTAAACATTTTAATATTACATATTAAAAGGTTACTTTTCCATGTTTTTTCCTCTCCCTCTCTCCTCTGAACTGCATAGAACTCACATGTAATTCAGAGCACTTTATCCTCTCTCCCATCCAGTCAAATAAACTCTGTTTACGCTCAAGTTTTCCTAATCAGAATTATAATAAGTAAGAAAGAAAATATTTAAAAAAAGCATTCAGCTCACCAGCTTCTGAAATCATACTATTTAATAGAAAAGAATGTCAAAAAACCATACTATTAATTTGTGTTATGGTTTTAGTAAAAAACATAAACATGCAGGCATAAAGGGAATGCCAATAAAATTTACCTCAACAGGATCAGAGAGGAAAAATAAATGTAGAAGGTAACCAAACCCAAGAGACTCTTTTGCTCATTGATCTAATGTAAGTCTGGTTGGCTCTCACAAGCACAAGAGAGACCAAATGAGCAGGAGCTGGGCTGGAAGAGATTAAGGATGAATTAGGTCCAGACTGACAGAAGACACAAGCCCACACTCCACTATCTCAGTGACCTGCAAGCAGTATAAATACAGAGGATTCCACAACAGACTCACAACTGCTCACAAAACAAAGTGCAAACCTTGTGGCAAGTAGAATTATGAGGTGACCCTCAAGATTGCCAGTTACTGGGATTTAGATGTTATCTGACATGGTCAGTCAAACAATAATCTTAGCACTCTAGGGAAATTCTGTAGATGGAATGAAATTTTCAGACAAGGGACTGTCAGACAAAGTGAGTAGGTTAGGTAGTCTAACCAATAATGTGATCTGTTAAACCAAGGAACTTTTTCCCCTTAGACATGAAAGACAAGAGGGGGAATATGGAGTCCATGTGAGAATCTCTCACTTGCCTCTTGAAGTAGAGGTAATCACAAGGCAGCCTTTAAGGAGGAAGGTTTTTTTCCAATCAGAATGGAAGAAAAAACTAAGCCAGGTAGGGAGTAGGGCACAGTTGAAGTCCCAGAAAAAGGGAGTTTACTGGGAAGAATCATGAACCTTGACAGCATAGCATGCTCCAGGTTAGTCTTACTATGGGGCAAGACATTTTCCCCAAATACAATAGGAACAGTGAGGGAGGATTAGACAGATGGAGATGGAATAGAAGGAGCGGGACAGAGAAAGAGAGGGCATGGAGAAGGAGAAGAGAGAGGAGAGGAATAAGAAAGGAGAAGAAAGATTGGAGAGGGAAATAGGGAATATTCCAGACAGCATGATGCCTTAGCTCTATATCCATAGAAAACTGTGAGGCCCAGTATAGCATAGAAAGTTCAACTACCCAGTGGCATTTCTGACAGTTCTTTTTTACTTCTATCTGTCCCTGGCTTTCACTTCTACTAGTAATACCAGAGTGATAGTCATGTGAATTTGAGCATCTTAAGGCCAAGTCAAAGCTGAGGGGCTCTGATTTTTTCAGTGGAAGTTGAGAGGGCATCAGAACTGCTAATGCAAATCTTTGGTCAATGCCAGGCATTTGCAAGCTGTTTCCCTTGCCATCTTTTTGATAAACAATGTGAAGTGGACACAAGACTATCAGAAGGCAGACATTTCCTTCCAATACCAAGTAAAATAGGGTGGGGCTTAGATCTCCCACCTCTATCACTGTCTTTTCTCTAATGTATATTTATTTTTATTTCAGTTTATTTACTTTATATCCCAAGGGTGACCCTACTATCCTCTCCTCTCAGGTTTCCTGCTCCTTGCCCCCTTTCCTCTCCCTTTCCTCCCAGAAAAGGGAGCCCCTCCCACAGCGTCAACCCTCTCCAGCACATCAAGTCACATCAGGACTTAGCATTTCCTCATCCACTGAGGCCAGGCAAGGCATCCCTGCCAGTGGGAAGGGATCCAAGGACAGGCGAAAGAAAGAAAGAAGGAAGGAAAGAAAGAAAGAAAGAAAGAAAGAAAGAAAGGAAGGAAGGAAGGAAGGAAGGAAGGAAGGAAGGAAGGAAGGAAGGAAGGAAGGAAGGAAGGAAGGAAGGAAGGAAGGAAGAGAAAGATTACAGATAAATAGAAAGAAAAAAGTCGATGTTAGAAAAAGCCCATCCCTCCAAGCTGCCCATAGGCCACATATGTTTAGGGGACCTAGGTCCTGACCATACATGCCCCTTAGTTGATGTCTCAGTCTCTGAAAGCCCCTGTGGATCTGGGTTAGTTGTCTCTGTTAGTCTTCTTACAGGTTCCTGTCCCATCCAGACCCTTCTGGCTTTCCCAACACTTCCACAGGACTCTAGGAGCAACGCCCATCCTGGACGGCAAGTCTCAGCAGTTAGGTAGATGTAGTCACATGAACTATTCATGTCTTATATTCTAATGCTTCTTCCATGTGTCTTTTTAATTCTATATTGGGGTCATTTCATTCCTATGGCTCTGCACTATAAGAAATCTAGAACGCAGATTCATCAAGCAGTACTCTTTTCCCTAGAATGATTTTTGGCTCTGCAGGGTCTTCTGTGCTTCCCAAAGAATTTAACTGCATTTACCTATTTCAGTGTGAAATTTTTATTAGATTTAATTGAATCTATATTAGGGTTTGTATAATGACCATTTTCTCAATATTAATTATTGATATCCATACTTTAGTTGTTTTTTTTTTTCATTTTCAAATATCTTCCTCAATTTCTGGCTTTAAGGTTTTAATCATTCATTATAGAATTCTTTCACTTTCACTTTTATATGATTTACATGTTAGAATTTTTCAGGTTGTTGATTATAGGGATATTTTCCTAATTTATTAATCAATCTGTTTGTCCATTTTATAGAGAGGGGATACCGACTTCCACATTTTAACTTTGTCTCCTGTAAATTTTTTATATGCCCTTATCAGTTCTGGGGTCTTCTAATAGAGCATTAGGCTCAGTCACATGTAGAAGAGACTCCTGTCACTTGCAAATAAGAATGACTGACTTCTCATTGCTATTTACATTTTGATTTGCTTATTGAGGCTTATTTGTTTATCAAAGGCTTTGAGGACAATGTCAAATAATTTCAACTACTTGCTCATGCTTGTCATTTCTACTCAACTGACGTTAGCAACAGTTTTCACACACATACCTTTGTTTTGTTCAGATATGTTCCTGCCCATCTGATTATTACTGTGAAGACTGTTGTTTGTCAAAAGGTTTTTCTACACTTATCAAGACAATTATATGATTTTTCTTATTGAATTCATTTATGTTACTTACAAAGTTTTATGTGCATTTTTTGAACCAGGCCTGCACATCTGCAATGGAGCCTATTAATGGAAAGCAAATTTTTGATTTGTTCTTGAATTTTGTTTACAAAAAATTTGTTAATATCTTATTTTCATGTCAGTCTGTAATTTTCATTTTTCCTAGAATCTTTAATTTTATTTGCTATCAGGACAACTCCAGTAAGCTACCTAGTTTTTGCCATGCAGATACAAAATAGAAACTTCTGGGAAGTTGAAACCTGAATTGAGGAAATATTTCCATCACACTGACCTGAGATCCGTAGATACTTACTCACCATATCTATGAGACATTATCTTAATTAAGGATGGTGGCGGGGAGGGCTGGGGAGGGACTACTATGGGCCATGCTATCCGTTAGCAGGTAGTCTTGGGTTTTATGAAAAAGTAAGATGAGCAAATCATTGTAAGCAACATTCCTCCGTGGTCTCTCATCCAGTACTTTAAATTTCGGTCTTGAGTTCTAGTTCTGACTTTCCTCAATGATAACTCTTTACTTGTACATGAAAATATCAACCACCTTGTTGACTTTCTCAAAAAACCAGCTGTTGGTTTCATTGATTCTTTGTATTGTCCTCTTAGTTTCTAAGTTATTTATTTCAGTCCTGAATTTGATCATTTCCTGCAGTCAGGTCCTCTTTTGTATGTTTGCTTCTTTTTGTTCTATAACTTTTAAGTGTGCTTTTAAATTGCTTTTATGAGAACTTTCCAATTTCTTTA